CTTTACGTATAAATATATTAAATTAATTAGATTTTTTTGAATTATTTATTAATATAACAAGATTAAAAAAATGTAGAATACAATTTATTTTGTTAACATTTTAGAGAGAACTTTAAAAGATATGTATTTTTTTTAACAACATAAAATAAGAAGTGTTATCTTTTTTACAAACAAAATATATCTCAAAAATAATGTAACATATTTATTTAAGAAATATTTATTCTAGAATATTTAACTTGCACGCAACTTAAAAAGAAAAAGTAAAAAAAATGTTTTTTTTAAATATAACAATGAAAAATGAAACTTACTAATAATAATTTGAAATAAATTTTTATTTTCAAAATGATGTGTCATCCACGTCACCTCATTAAAGCCACACAAGCAAAAAAAATCAAGGGGTTAACCGATTTAAAAGGTAGGTGACCGGAGTTTCCTTTTCAAGCTACTAACTTGGCGGAGTTCATGGCGGCGCCAAAGTTCCCGTTCAGAGGCAACAAGGCGGCTGAGGCTATGGAGGTGATTCTCTTGGTGTTCATTTGGCTTACTTGGGCTAATTGTAATGATCTCGTTCATAACAAACCGGCTAAAATGCCGAAAGCGATTTTCAATGATATTGTTCTCTTCTCCTTCAATTGGCTTAAGGTTAGATCGAAAAATTGTAAACATCTTGATTGGAAACTTTGGTGTAGTAGCCCGTTGAGGGCGGTTTTGTATCCGCTAGAGGCTTGCTAGCTAGTTGTTTTTTGGTTTTATAATATCGGCCGTTCAAAAAAAAAAAACCGGTTTAAAAGATAACAGGTTATCCATTGCTATAATAGGTAGATTTTTTAAAGTGAGATGCCTTAGTAAAAATAACTTGAAAGTACATTGTTGTAATAAAGAAAAATAAAAGTAGAATGCTATAATAAGAAAAATTATGAAAGTAGGTTGTTATTTCATGCATTTCACTCTTGTCAAAATAATCCAAATGCCATAGCAGTGAAATCAACTTACAAATCATATGACATGTGAAACTAAAAACATCTCAAATAACCAAATTGGTACAATTAGAAATAACAAAAAACGTCTGAAAACATGCAATATTGTCTAAAACTCAACCAGACTTTCTCCTTTCCCTTATTAGTATCAGTTTTGGTATTTTCTTAAAATATATGATACTAGTTAACTGAAAAACTCAGTGAGTCCATGATTTATTTATATGTTATAATATTAAAACCATCACAATTAATGTTGCTAGGAAAAATACCCTTTTTTTAACCAGAAGTATAAAAATGTACATAAATCTGCACTTGTAGAATTATGCATATAGTCGCGGGACTATTTTTGTAGTTTACTTTACTCTCATTTTGATTAGTGATATTTAGTCAAACATAGGAATAGAAACCATTTAGCCCTATTTTCATCAATACTGCAGCGACTCGAAAGAAACGGAAAGAGTTTATCTCTCTCACACTGATCTCGATCTTCAGGTAAGGTCTCTCGATCAATGAATTTCTGTATCGATTTCTATCTTCTATCAAATGGAGCAAACAGTAGCACTAGCATTGTTGTAATGATCTATTACGTGGCTCGTAAGTTCCATATGTTGATGTATTCTTTCGATATACGTGCGTCCAAGTCTTTATTAATCATCCGTACCCAATACGCTCATCAAAACAAAATCGAGCGACTTGAATCTACTTTACTCCTGTGTTAACCGTTCCAGTCTTTATTCATACGCAAGGTCTGCTGCTAGACGGAGGGAGAGAGGGAGGGAGAAAGGATAAGAGCAATTGACTTTTCACCAGTTTAGCGTTAACGGCTCATGCCAAAACCCAAGCAAAAGAAGGTAATTGAATGCTAAGCGTTTGATTCTGTTTCACATTGCCTGCCTTTTCGGGTTTGTCAGTTACATTTTTCTTGATACGATTGTTTGTCTTTCTAGGAATGTTCTTATTTTAAATATTTTGATGTTAGCTATCTTTATAGGTTCTATTTTGAAATTCACTCAAGTCCGTAAGTCTTGATCTTTGTGGCCATCAATTTCTAGCAGTCCGGTGAAGCTATGGGTTTCTGGCTGGAGCAGCCAGATTTTGGGTTTAGAGTGGTCCTCTTAAATGTTATTATGAAAATACATAAATAAGATATATAAAAAACAAATATATAAAAATCCTAATCCTAAATCCAAGGTTTGCATATTGATTGTCTAGGTCGATTACCATACGACTTTGTTTATAACTATAATCATTACTCCTAATCCATAATTCTTTTTGTTTTTGTTAGATACTTATTCATAAGTGTTAAAAGTTAAACTAATTAGTCAACTAAAAGTATACAACCCTACTCAAAGTCTCAAATGTGGACATTAAGTTAAAGAACAAAAAGAAGAATGACAGAACTTCAAGAAAGGCAAAAACTAGAACATTGTAAAAAGGACATACAAAACTATATTACAAAAACATGTTTATTGTAAAATTGTGTGGTGGTTAAGAATTTTCAATACAGTTTTAATTTTTGTTCAAGATGGGAAGCTGAACTAGTTGTAAATCATGTAAATTGAAATGGGAGATTGTTATCTTACAAATTAGCAACTAGAAGCAAATAATTAAATATAAGAAATGACATAAGCAATCAAGCAAATCAATAAACATTAGACATGATAGCGAGATATTTCATACTTAGTTGGGTTCTAATATATCAGAAACAATGTATTTTAACACCAAATTTTCTAAAAAAGAAAAAAATATTAATATGTATGAAATCTTATAAAAAAAGATGATGGATAGGAGGGTTAACAAAAATAAAGCTGATATTTTTTAAATGTAAGGGTGAGCCTGGGTCCCCCCCTGCCCTAAGGTATATCCGCCCATGGTCCTGGGGTCATATCTGGGTTCCATTTCCTCTTCTGTTTTCCTTGGGATAATCTCTTAATTTGTTGTTCGTGATATTGCCTGTCTTTATGATTTCTGTTAATACTGATGCAGTGTTGGTGATGTGAGCTTGCAATTGTGTTGATTATATTTGAAATTTTTCCTGCAATTTGCCTATTCGCACAATATTGTTAAGTCACATAAACCTGTGTGTATAACCCAAATTTGATTGATTCCTTAACATCGTTATGATGGCTTGCCCTTTTCTGTTTCTGAGTCCTATGATAGATGGAGGGATGTGTGATCTTCCTTATCTTTTTTATGTTTCAATGTGTGTATTTCTTTTTTTTTTTCCTTTTTCTGCTGCTTAATTTACTAGTCTTGGTTCTTCTTTCCTTTTCGCTCACAGAGGTCTCAACGGAAACAGCGGCTCTAGTGCTCTACCCTTTGGGGTGGTGGAGGACAAGTCTGCATGCATCCCACCCCAGACCCTACTTTCGAGTGGGATATACTGTATTTGTTTGGTTTAGTTGTTTCAGCATGATATGTTGTGTGTTTTGACATGCTTAACTGGTGTACTTGATTCTTTTGAAGGCCTTGAACCAGTGTATGATATATTTTTCTCTCTGTGAGGACAAAGGATTTTGTGCTGCTGGATTGAAAGGGAAGAAAGGTTTTTAACCAGCCGCACTTCAAGTATTTACCTCTACCGTCAACTTGGAGCATTCAAAATTCAGAGACCTTTTTCAGGAGTTCAATTTTATCAGGGCAGCAAGGTGAATCCTTTCCCTGTACCTCAGACGTTAATTTTCTTCGGTGCTGTTGCAATGGATGATGCCATGGAGACTGGTAATTTGGCTCCCTACCAAGAGAGACCTAGGACCTTTCCGAATATGCGCAGTAAACCTAGCACACCTCTGGTAATAGTTATCCTGGCTTTATCTCACAACATTGTAGCAATTGGAATTTCATTTTATTCTCTGTATATTTCATCGTGTCTGCTCAAGTTCTAATGTTATTTATAGTCTATATATTGGAGCAATAAATGATCATATTTAAAATTTTACTCCTTTATAATCCGAGCATCCACAGTCATGATTCATGAACCTCTAAAGAGGTTCATGACTTTGCCACATCAGCTTTCTCTCAATGCCACATCAATTTTCTATCTCCTACGCACTTCATAAACCTTTCATCCCAATCATGGACCGGTGATCGGTCCATAGTTTATATAAACTACAATAATAATAATAATAATTATAATAGTTAAAAATTACTTATTTTATAATTTAAAGACAATATTAAATATTATAGTAGTTTAAACAATAAGTTTAAATAACAATAAAATTTAAAATTATAATAATTAATGATGACAATAAAATATAAACCAAGTTAATATAAAATCACACTTATTTAACAATAATTGTTGACGTCAATGAAAGAGATTTTAATTTTTTTTTATAATTTATAATTTTTTATTGATTAAAACTAATTAATTTGGTGTGACAAGGTAAGAAAACTAAACCCCCTCCTAAATTATAACTTCTTATTAATATTTAAATAGTGGGTCCCACCATTTATGGAGGAATAAGCGGTCCTCAAAGAGGAATCCTCTTAGGTGGCATTGTACGGGACCTTCCCAATTGTAGTGAAAATTTTAGAACTAGTCCTTCAACTTCGAAAACCTAGCGTTGTGGATGCTCTCATAACCTTATGCTCCCACTAAAACAATAACCGTTTAGGATTAGAAAAAATGATTTGTTTGACCAAGTCTGGAAGGGACATGGTACCTACTAGACAGGGAGAAGACCGAGTTTCATATTTCTCCCCAAAATTGGTAATAGTTAACAAGGTTTTAAAAGGCAGAGTTGGGCTTCTAGGCGTTTTTCCTCAACAAGGAGAGGCATAAACCTCTAGGCGGTCCAAGGCGTATATATACTACACAAATATATACACATTTATATACAACATATATGTATATATAATACTAAGTTACTGATAGGTGTTGGTTCAGTGGTTCTTGATAGAGGAAAGAGTGAAACTCTGTGATGGACCGAAGGAAGAGGAAGGGTCAAACCGTACTTTCTAATTGAGAGGAGAAAGTACTAGCTTTTTGGGTTTTAAAATATTACAAGTACACATTGCCATTCTGAATAAAAAAAGACACCATAAAGAGAAACTACTATCTATAAAGCTCATTAAAAAAGTCAAAAAAACATTACCAAGCATATCATCTGAGGGTACGCCTCGACAATGGTTACACCTCACCGAACTGCCTCATTGAACCAAAGCGTGAGCCTCGTCCTGGTCCAAGAGGCATTGCCTCATGTGCGGTTTTGGGCCGCCTTGCCTGGAGGCGTACGCTTGAAACGATTTTAGAAACCATGGTAATTAATATTTATTGACTATTGACCCACATTTTGTTTAATTTGTCTTGTGCAAAGAGGAAGAATTTTTTTCTTGTTTAAAGATAACTCATAAAAGGTTTCTCATGCTTTTAAATTTTGGAAGAGGCGCATGCCTCAAGACACGACAAAGCTGTCCAAAAATGAGTATGAGGCGACCCTCTACAAGATGAGCATGTTCATGATCTCGTAGTGGTGGCAATTCGAGTGGTAGGTGGAAGACATCCTCAACTTCTTGTAGTAGTGGTTCAACCGTACCGGTACAGGCCACATTGCTCGTTGGCAAGCTAGTTAGACTTTTCATCTTGATCCAATAACCTTTGTTTGCATGATGCAGTGAATAAAACACGTTTTTAAGGGATACCAGGGTTCGGCCCAAACTTGGGTCTCCTTGTAATGTAATTTTCTTACTTTCGTCTTTGACATACATGGTTAATGTCTTCTGATCAATTGCCATATCCCCTAAGGTTTGCAACTGTTTAATGCCCAATGACATTGGTACTCCCCAACTCGAGGGGAAAAAAAATCCTCAACTAGTTGTAGTCCTGGGAACGAAATCACTACCCCTCCGCATAATTTTTCCACCCTTCCATTACCTAAGACAACATCGACAAGACGACAACGTGTAAAGGTGATACGCTTAGTCCTAGCTCCCTCACCAAGTGGGTGGATAGGAAGTTATGGGTTGCCCTACTATCTATCAAAACCACTACCATGAGACCCACGATATTACCGTGCAGTTTCATCATGTGTGGTGGTGTGAGCCCTATTATGGAGTTCAACAACACCTTCGCCATTTCCAAATGAACATGCAGTTCGTTGCCCTCACCTTCATTTTCAGGCTCGTTCACCGGTTCTTTTTCATCGACTAAGAGTATTGTAGGGTGCGATTTGTGCACTAATGCTCTGGTGCAAACTTTTCATCACATTGAACTATTTGATTTCTTTGTTTGCAGGTTGTAACTCTTTCTCCATTGTCCCTTGAAACCCCCCTCCCGAACGCCTCGCAACTACTGTAACGTCTGGTTTAACCCTCTGGAGAATGACATGCCCCAACCTGTGTTGGTCGTACTGGTTCTAGTTGTGCTTTGGTAATATGATCCACCCCCGTCGACTCGTGTCTCAACATATTGCTACCTTCATCATTTGGACTAACTTCATGGCTTGGTACAACTCTTTGGCTTGTGGCATTTGTGAACGAATCTCTTGCTTAAGCCCTTCAATAAAGGGGCCTTCGAGGATGAGTTTTGGTATCCCAGTCAATTATCCAACCAATATTTCAAAGAGATTCTGATGATCCTGTACTATCCCATCCTGTGTAATCACCATAGAGGTTGCCATCCTGTCACGTGTGAGGTTGAAAATCAAACCAACAATCGTTGTTTAAGACTTTCCCACAATCGAGAAGGACTACATCTCTCACTCCATCGGTACCACGATAACTTTTGCCCTTCCATGCATAATGCTATTGCTCGTAGTTGCTCTTCTGGCGTGATATTTTGAACTTCGTAGTATCGATTCCCAAATCGGTTAGACCCGGCGAGTTTTCCTCCCCTTTTTTTCTTCTGCTATCGGAAGTTGTGTCGATAAGGAATCCCAAGTCGTCATAATGTGGCCTTTCATCTGTCTTGGGTGGCCCTACGAGTATCTTGATGATGTGAGTGTTAAAGTCCGTCAATGCTTTCATCACTTGTTCAAATTTGGCCGCTGTTGGGCCATCTCTGCTCCACGTCTAGGTTGTCGATCTTCTTGTTGGCCATGGTTAAAAACCAAAAGATGCATGAATAGTAACTTGACATGAACAATATTTTTGGACGTGAACAAGTTGGATGTTACGACTCTGATATCAATGTGATAAGAATCGTGGCAAAATTCTTATTTATAAAGAAGAAAAACAGACAATAGTTCCTACAATTCGAGAAGTAGGGGCCTTCAAACGTCTAAGACTCTCAAAATTTGCTTGCCTTAGCCTTTACCCTAATATCCTATAAATACTAATATTCTAATATGCTAATCATGAAACTTGGTCATCAAGTTGTTACAATATCAGGAAACTAATTAATATAAGGTAACTAATTAATTAAGAATAATAACACTCTGCCCCCAACAATTGCAAAGTTGTACCCAAAGACCCTTTCGATTATTTTGACCGACGCGGGTAAACCTTTCCATAACGGCAGTTTTTATCACTTTGCCTTCTTCATTTACTTGTCTTCATAATCTTTCACGAAGGTCTGTCTTCGCTTTGAGCACTCTTTGATCTGGGTCGTCCTCATCACATCGGTAGCACTTTGCTCCCTCGGGTTTGCCTAGGGGTTATTGGACACTTTGGGTGTAGCACCCTAGTTTCTATATTTGGTAAATTTCAATGTTTTAAGCCTTAAATACCAATATTATGATCAAATTAAGTGCACTAAAAAGGCTCCACGAGCATTAGCATCTTTAAATCATAATATTTTTAAGGACAAATAATTTGCAAGTAGCCTACAAGGCAAATCATGAGAAATCAAACCTAAATAGATGACAAAACAAGCTAGTTATGAGTTGTTAAGGCTAGAAGTATGTGTTGGCAAAGTTATTGATGGCCAAGCAAGTCTAGTAGGCATGACAAAGCAAGCTTAGTAAACATGACAAACCAAGCTAGTTATGAGTTAAGGCAAGAAGTATGTGTTGGCTAAGTTATTGATGTCCAAGCAAGTCTAGTAAGCATAATAAGGCAAGCTAGTTATGAGTTGTTAAGGCTAGAAGTATGTGTTGGCAAAGTTCTTGATTACAAAACAAGTCTAGTAAGCATGACATTTAATAGCTAGAAGCATGATATATCAAGATTTTTTTTAATCTTGTCATAAGAGTACAACCATGAGAGCAAGAAGAACAAATACTTAATGCATTGTATTCATCTATAAATAGTGGTTGAATTGGAACCTAGTGGTTAAATTGAAACCATTATTTCCATACCAAAATAAGAAATTACTCCGAATAAAATAACAAGTTCGAAGTGAGAAATCAAAAGAAAAGTTATGCACAAACGTGAGTACGTTGTGAGATTTTCCGAGATACATGTATGCTATATAAATATATATTATGCTTTGTGAAGAATTTGATAAGATGTTTTGGCATGTTTGCTTTACATGAAATGAGGATACATTATAGCCAAGATATATGCATTTTATATGTGTTTTACACATAAGGCATGGAAGTTTTATGCAGGTTATATATGACCATAAATATCCAACGTACGAGATATAGAATGAAGAGTATTTTTGTGCATGATAAAGAGTTTTAGTGAATTATTATTCACAAAGTGATGAGTATTATGAAAATTGTTTTTTAATGAAACCATAAGTACTCACTAAAGCTTTCAGCTTATATATTCCATGTATGTATCCCAGGGAAGGAGTAAAGAGGAATAACATGAAGTAGTACTATTCTAATCAAAAGTAAAATTTTATAAGCTATTTAGTTACATTTCCACTAATGTTTGAACTCTGATATAATCGTAAGTTATGTAGAAAATAAAGTTAAATTCAGTTCAAATGCAAGACTTAATAGCATCATAAGAAAGTAACGACACCCATTTAGCATTTGGGGCATTACATTTGGTGCCGGTACTGCTAGGGTCCATCCCAACATTCTAGGGTGCTACTTTGGGGGTCCGATGACATGATGATGCCCGATTTATGTCATCTGTAGTGATGAGGTTCAGTCGTGTTCCTCCCAGTAGGGGTAGGTTCGTTTGGAGAGCGACTAGGATTATACATGGCCATGGTCTGAAGTCGTTCAACTTTCAAGGCCATGTTTTGAGCATGTTCAACAAATCATATGGTTTGTAGGCCCAAATGGTTCTGGGTGGTGTATTTTATCCCATTAATGTATCGTGTCGCTGTTTGCTCCTCTGTCTCGGAAAAGCCGCACCTAGCTTGTAACCGCAAAATTAGCTCTATACTTCAACATGGTACTGATACCTTGAGTGCAATAGATGATTTGCTTGTGATTTGATGATGAGAATTTGTCTTTGATTTTTTGTTTTGTTCATACGCGGCCATTTCGTTGACAAGACACCCACTCTGCCACGGAGTTTGCAGGAACGATCTTTACTTGTTGCTGGCCAGGATGTCCATGATGTCGAAAAATTTTCGACCTTGTATTACCAATCAAGCATTGCGCTGCTTCAAGATTGAGATTTCTTTGGACGTTCGGGAATCTTGGCTTTGACGCGTTAGCCTTCATTGTATACGTTTGGTCAGCCTCGATATTGTTGGCCCTCATATTCTTCTTTAGTCTCTTCATTGAGAAGTCTTTGAATCGGCCTGGTCCTCTATTGTTCACAGGACAATAGCCTTCACTAGCTCCACGAACGCCACCATTATTGCCTTGGCGTCATCGATTAGCGCCGTGGGGGCCACCCTCGTGATTTTGAAAAAAACACTGTGTGTAGGTCTTCTAGTATCGTGGTGGTTCGATCGAATCTGGTATTGAGTTCTTCAACTACCCGCCATAGATTTTGAACACTCGTTCTCCACTCTCCACTATTATGTTGTTGGTCGCCTCAATATTTTGCCATCAGGATACTAATGAGCTTTCCTACCAACTGAAGCAGAACGAAAACGAGATAAACTCGAGAACTCAAATAATACTCTTAATACCGATCTGTAAGTATGAAATTAAGGATTACAAAGGACCTATTTATAGGCTAAAATAGCGAGGAATTAGAAATGAACTAAGAAAACGAAATACCACACCTGGACCAACTAGGAAGAATGAAAAAAAGTAATTAAGTTATAAAAGGAAACTATTTGCTGAAAGTTGTCAAGACTTGTACACCACCCAACTTGCATATGTGGTCGCCCATCCCTTCTTGCAAATTCCCCAGAGCTATGCAATTGGGTGGGCGACCCCAGTCTCGTGTGTAATTGTGTCGTCCTATGTGTCTAATTCCAGAGAGTCATGCGAGCATGGTTTTATAAAACGTGTGAGGTGCACGCCTCAAGGCAAGGCGGCCCAAACCAAATGTTAGCCAGCGCCTCTCTAGGTATAGTTGTTGATACGCCTTGATTGACAGAGGCGAGGACTGAGTCGGTGAAGCGATGAGACTGTATGAGGCAGTTGTCTTTGTTGACCGTTCCAATTTGTACAAATCCACACAAAAACATGGTGCTTTATTCTCACTCAACTGCAAAACCACCCACCATCATTGTCACCATCCCACTTTGTATATATTCTTTATGAGCAGTACACACATATATAATATTATATTTAACCTAAGTCTCCCACCAGCCCACTTTGTATCACTTGGTATATTTTCTTTGTGATCAATATAACTACATACATATATATAATTCAATTCTCCCATTGTCCCACTTTCAATGTGTATATATATAGTGTCTAGTGGCCTTATATATATATTTTTTGTGTACATATATTCAGTATTTAGGTCTTTGTGTATATTGTATTCAGTCCTCACACTATAGTAATTGTGTGTATATATAATCACATCTCTTATTTGTCCAATTCCAGAGTCATGCGAGTTGTCAAGCGACCCTACTCGCATAGGGGTTGCACACCTCTCAGTTTGCCTCTCTTGATGTTGGATTTTCTCACTCCTTTCTCTTTCTTCCGTTGATCAATAAATGAGTCAGCCACAACTTGGATTTGCTCTGCATCAGAATTCCCTATCATTTGGCAATTTGCGGGGGTGGGGTTATGGAGCTGCAGAATCAGCTACATGCCCTTCAAAAACTTGTGGACTTTCTGACTTATACTTGGACGATTTTTCATATAAGTTATGTTATTGGATGCTTTAGAAGCTCCTTCAGACCCTTCTTTTCATTCGTCCAGCAAAAAGTGCTTGCACCATTACCACTGACACTGAGTTCTAAAACAGTAAACATCATCCCTTAAAAACCAGCTGCTTAATATTGGAGAAGTGCAGGGTCAATACCTTGTGATATTTGAGAACACTTGACGTTACTTGGGTTCCAGATGTTGGTGTGTTTGGAATTTGGAAATATGATCCAAGAGCAAGGATTATATATGGAGTTAGAATCTTCTTCAGCAGTACCTGGATTATCTTTTTGTGCCTATTGTGATGAGGAATGGTTTAATTCTTTCTATCATAGTTCTATTTCTTAATGAATTGAGTTTGGTTAAGAGCAAGCATCTAAATTGTGACTACAAATCGGCTATAGCTATATCTAAATTGTGTGATTACAAATCTACTATGTTTATAAATGTAGTGTGGTATAAACTATTTCCTGCTTATGCTATTATTATTTCATTATACTATTATGTTTTCCTGTTCTTTTGTATATTCTTAATTATTTCAGTAAACTTCCATACAATATTGCCATCTGTTTTATCATATAAACATTGTTTCAACTTTCAAATTCCTCTTTTGATCTTTGTATCCTTTTGTTTATGCTACTTCTATTGATTTCACTTGTGCAGATATTTCGAATTCTCATGAGAATGAATGTCCGTCTTCTTTTTGTGCTTCTGTTCTTGGGCTTTGGAGCTATTTTTTACATTGGAGCTAGTACCTCGCCAATCATTGTCTTTGTATTCTCAGTTTGCATCATCAGTTTTCTGTTATCAATATACCTGACTAAGTGGGTACTTGCAAAGGATGAAGGACCTCCTGAAATGGGTCAGGTACAACTACTCAACTAGTATCGGTATTGTTGATTCTACTTTGTACGAAGTTTACGTGTCTTCGGTATTGCTGATTCTACTTTGTACGAAGTTTACGTGTCTATTATGCAAGTCACGTCCTAAGTTAAAGTGGATGGGTCTAGGGTGGAGGAACTATGAGGAGCCAATGTATAATATTCTTTGTTCAGGAACAAGTAACGCTATGCTTGGTGGTTATTTTACTATTTCCCTGAATCTTAACATAGTAATCCTGGATCCTTACTCTTCTGGTTCAAAAAGCTAGATATGTTTCCATCCAGTGCATTCCTGCAAGTTATCCTAAGATGTGGCATGTTTGTTTAAGTTTGACTACAGCTTCAACGTTCATTGGAGTCCAGAGCTCATAGTTGACCTGCTTGACCCTTAACCATTAGTTACTGTCATAGTTACCAAGGCATCACACTCCTCCATTGAGCCCAATGCTTCTTTCTGCCTTGTTGGCCACACTGCTCAACTCCACAATCATTCTTCTGCCTTGTTTACATGAAATTTTTTTAGTAAATGACTTTTTTTTTGAACTTCTATTGTCCATTTGCTTCAATTTATTACATGCAAATAAGGAAATAACTAGTAGAACTAAATATCAAGTTACAGGAAGTCAACAGTTATCTCAGTGATTAGTTTTCCTGTTTTGTTAGATTTCAGCTTATGACAAACCTTCAAAGTAAAGGCTTCACTTTGAGCTATAAAGATATGGAAATTTGTTTCACTGAACAATTAGAAATATGAAGTTACGCTGACCTTTTTTCTTTAATTTTGATTAATTTTTTTTTACCTTTACATAAAATGGATACAAATATGGTAAATGTGCATTAGATCCGCTTCTAATCTGCTCTATTTACATGTCTGTTGTACACTTTTGGATCCATAATTGTTGAAAGTTTGAAATGTGAAGCACTTCTCTCATCTTAAAAAAATGTGTTGTTTGACTTGTTAATAAGAAATTTTCACTAATAATCAAATGCCTAAAATAACCAAATTAAATTCAAACATACCCATTACATCTCACTCAGAAGTACGGTATGGAGAGGGTAGGATGTACGCAGACCTTTCATCTACCCCATGGAGTAGAAAGACTGTTCTGGTGAAGTTTCGAGGCTTGAATAAAAGTTTTGGAACGTTTAGAGAGAAGCAGAAAGTTTATAAAAAAATTATGGGAGTCTTGAAGATTTTTAAATGTTTTTAAGGACCTGATACTGTCATTTTTTTTTTGTAAAAACGTTGGGTGCATAATAAAGACAAAATGTTGGAATTGAGAGGAAAATAGGTCAAGATAATTTGGGCAATGAGGACACAGGTGAAACTAAGAAAAATTCGAACAGCTTATAGAAGCACAACACCAAGTCCTAGCTGACACATGACGGACGCTGCTAAACTACTGAGTGAAGACCTCCCTGTCTATCTATCCTAGGACATTGCTTACCTAACTACCAATACTCTAATCCTCCCCTCATCCCACCCTCCACCCCTGCCCCTGTTTGCCGCAGCTACTAGTAACTAAAAGGCCCTTTACAGAGGGAAAAAAATAAGAAAACTTGTGGACCAAAATAAAGTTTTATATAATTGTAAATTGGGAAGGTGTTCAAATTGTTTCCTGGCCCTTTTTCATAATTTTTTTTAATGTAAGCCGTAGGATTGATATAGATAGAAGGATGTGATGTGTTCCATTGTTCTCTTTCTTTGGGTTCTCTTTTGAATCTATACTTATATATATAGTGTGAGAGAGAGATTTGGGTTCAAACGAGAATAGTGACCAAATAAGAGAACACGAGAAAGTCCAAATTGCATGTGATTTTACACTAAACACATGTGTCAAAATGACGTGACCTTGGCTGCGAGCCAAGTCGCTCGTGCACCCATGCGTTGACCGTGTTCCCTAAGTGCATGTGCCTTTAGTATAAAATCACATGTGATTTGGCCGTTCTCATGTTCTCTTATCTTGACCATGTCCTCGCTTGATCATCCCCCCCTCTCTGTATATATGTATATATATATATAGAGAGAGAGAGAAAGGGAGTCACAATCATTTGCAGACCTAATTCATACAAAACAATGTCAACTGTCCATCTAGGCTAATGAATATACGGTTCCATAAATATCTTGATTGTTTCCTAATCTAAAACTTTGATCATAATGAATGAACTCTAATCATCTTCCATAAATAAGCTGATCATAATAAGTGAACCTTCATCGTTTTCCATGAATATCTCAATTGTTTGGTCATATCCCCAATTGTTTAGAACCATGTAGTCCTAGTGTCCCCATACGTACTATCCTTGCTGATGGAACATCCTTTAATGTCCATAAATCCTAGTAATGTTTATAGAGAACTTGGTTGATAGAAGTGATGCTATTAATGTTCCATAGCTTAGCAAAAATGTATTTATTTATTTCTTATTACTTTATTTAGCACTTATTAAAATATTGGTAATTTTATAATTTATATATCTAAAAAGCTTGGCTCATGAGCTATTGAGCTTGGGTTTGGCTTGTTAGTTACATGAGCAAAGTATTATCAAATTTTGTTCTCATTTATTAATAACCCAAACACAAGCACGCTAAAGCTCATCCTACCTTGATGTATTTTCAGCTCTATCTTCAACATGTTAGCTTAATTAATTGCTTTTTTTTGTTACCGAACTTAGCTTGTGAGGATTGTAAACTGAAGCAGCAAATCTATCCTCTTAGTTTGGATAACTTGTTGAGCTTGTGGAATTGTTACCTAGCCAACTTGATCTAATGTTATGATTATAGGGTAATTCATATGAATGTAATGACTTTGTCATTTTATGTCACTCTATTTAAATCTTCTGCCTTATCTAGCATAACTTTAGGCTATTTAATTTTGCTTCTTAGATATCCGATGCAATACGTGATGGAGCTGAGGGTTTCTTTAAGACCCAGTATGGGACTATCTCTAAGATGGCATTATTGCTAGCATTCGTGATCTTTGGCATATATATGTTCCGTAGTACAACTCCTCAACAAGAATCTTCAGGCTTAGGGAGGTGAGATAGGATGTCAATGTTTCTTGGATTCCTGTGATTTCATGTTGAAGTTCTTGACAAATTAAGGAAATATGCTCTTGGGCGATGCTGATGCAGGTTAACTTCTGCATCTATCACCGTCTTTTCTTTTCTATTAGGAGCTGTATGTTCTGGTATGGCTGGTTATGTTGGCATGTGGGTCTCTGTACGTGCTAATGTTCGTGTTTCAAGTGCAGCAAGACGGTCTGCAAGAGAAGCTCTGCAGGTTATCTTCTGTTCTATTCTGCTGTATTGCTACATAATCGTTTTAGGTATCTCACTGACTTGGCAAATTTTATGTTCAGATAGCTGTTCGTGCTGGCGGTTTCTCTGCTTTGGTGGTTGTTGGTATGGCTGTAATTGGTGTTGCAATCCTTTATGCCACATTTTATGTTTGGTTGGGAGTGGATTCGCCAGGTTCAATGAAGGTTACTGACTGTGAGTCTCAACTTCTTCCAATTGAGTATTCATGAAATTTAGTTTACTGCTTAATGCATTTTGGTGCAATTCATTATTGAGATGTTGTCTCAAAATCTTCATTGACTGGGATCTTAGATTTAGCAGCAGTTTGGTTCATGCTCGGTGATGAAAATGAAAATGACTGTTTCCTTTCCCCCAGCTTAATCTGGAATGAAAATTTTGGCTTGTGGGGGAATGGGCCCATTATATTATATATAACCAAACACTTCCTTTTATTTTCATTCCCATTGATTACTGCTTAATACATCTAACCAAACATCCATGTATATCATATGTTCGCTGTAAGAATGAAGAACATGACCTGGTTATGTGAACGTGGTTGTTACCGTGTCCTCTCTATGTCGCCTTGACGTCATGGCGATACCTAGATGAAATGTCTCACTGCCATGAGAGTGTGCATACGTCTCACGGTCACTTGATGGTGTCTAACGTCGTTGTTTGTTACTCCAAAAGATAAAATCAAATGTAGAAGAATATAAGAAAAACAAAAACTAAAGTTTTGATAGAGAAGATTACATGAAAGAACAACTTCGGCTTATGGAGAATAAAGATGAGAGCTCTCCTAAAACAACAGGGCATCTGGATTCCCTTGGCTGGTGAGAGGCCTGAAGGGATGGCTGAATTTGAGTCTGCACAACAAGATGAGAAGGCTCACTCTACCATCTTGTTGTCTTTGGCAGATGAGGTGATTTATAAAGTTGCCGATGAGGAGACTGCTGCGTCTTTATGGCTGAAACTAGAGTTTCTACATGACCAAGTTTTTAATGAACAATTTGTTGTTAAGGCAAAGGTTATTCTCATTACGGATGAAGGAGGGAATGCCTTTGAAGGAACATCTTGACAAGTTAAACTCTATTCTTATGGATTTGAAGAATGTTGAAGTCAAGATTGAAGATGAGGATGCGGCCCTCATCTTATTGGTTTCGTTGCCCACTTCATATGAAGATTTTGTCAACTCGTTCATTGTTGGTAGAGACACAATTACAATGGAAGAAGTTCATTCAAGTTTGCACTTATGAGAGTTGCGACATAAAGCTTCAGGAAGTAGTTCCGAAAGCCAATTGGTTGGCTTGTAGGTGGTAAATGGAGATAGTGACAGAGGTAGAGATAAAAGGCCGAGAGAAAGGAAAGGGAAGTGGAAAATTAGAGGCCAATCAAGATCGAAGACTAGAGGTCCAAGTGGAAACCCAAGGGATAGCTGCCACTATTGTAAAGAACCGGGTCATTGGAAAAATGAGTGTCCGAAACTGAAGTCAAAAGGATCTGCTGCTGTAGCAAAAGATGATTTAGGTTCGGAGGCTGATTTGGTGCTTTGGGTGGTTGATTGCAAAAGTTGGTCAGAGGTATGGATTCTTGATTCCGCATGTTCTTTTCACGACACCACATAAGGATTAGTTCAACACTCATGATAAGATTGCAACCGGAAATGTCTTGATGGGAAATGACATGTCGCACAATGTTGTTGGAATTGGATCGGTGAGCATTAAATTGCATGATGGGACAATGAGAACTCTAATAGATGTTCGTCACGTTCTCGGGTTGAAGAAAAACTTAATTTCTTTGGGAGTGTTCGACTCAAAAGGTTTAAGTACACGGGTGAGGGTGGAGTAATTCGGGTCACTAAGGGTGCATTAGTAGCGATGAAAGGAGTCAGGAGATGTACCTTGTATGTGTTGGAAGGTAGCACGTTGCGATTAGGTGATGCGCTCGCATCACCTACGCATCACACGATGCGTGCATCACTTATGCATCAGCGCATCATGTATGTTGCATTTTTGGGCTCCTTTTTTAGTTTTTAGTTGGGTTTCTTAGTTAAGTAAAATAGAACGTGAGACTGTGAGAGACCTAATAGAAGAAGCCGACAGCGAAGAAGTAGAAGTCGCACTGTGAGAGACCTAGCATCGCATATCAATTAAAA